ATGATTTACTAGTTATAAACATTTAAAGAATCAAATAATAAGTATAATAATATATAGCTAATAAAAACAATTCATGTTTGTCTGGCCGTGCAACCCTTGACATTTTATCAATATTCTAGAATTTCGTAGCATACAGTTGGGTTCAATTATAATTTCATCAAATCGTGATGATGATTATTATGACAGTAAAATAAATATTTCCTTAATTTATTTTTTATCATACTTTCGACTGACCCGGCTGACTGTGTAGGTACTACTGAATCAAACCATCAACCTCGAGCACCCCTTAATCTTGATGTTCACTGCTGCTGTGGCATAACTCGCTAAACTTCGGCAGTCGCCATTTACGCTGCTCTTCGCCAACCCTCGTCTACTATTCCAACACAGCAGCATGTTATTATAATAATAGTGTCGTGCAGTGGCGTGCGTGTAACCGACCGGTATGGACAATAAAAGCCATAATAAATTATTGTAAACAAGCAACCGGATCCGGGGTCACGTTCAAACAGGGATTGATGGGCGGAGGCTCGGTTTCTTGCCGAAAATATTTTAGAAATGTGTATAGCGTGACGTGTATTTTTATCAAAATTAAATATTTGTAAAATACAAATTATGACATTATAATATTATGCAGGGGGATGAGGTGACCGAGTGGTCTGACGCGTCCGCTGCGACGCAGCCGGTCGCGGTTCAATCCTCGGCTACCGGGCGGCATTTTTCTCCGGACAAGTCGCGGTGACCGGAGAACAAGTGCTGCCATCCCCCACCCCCGGGGCATGGCAGAAACCTACGGGTGCCCCATTCGAAATTCTGCCAAAAACAAACACATACGTGTTCCCCCCTACCGTTCCAAAAAATATACAATACAAACTACAATACAAATCCTACTACAGCTAATGGCCTCAGTTGCCGAAGCTTAAGTTCAAAAAAAAAAAAAAAAAAAAATATTATGCAGACAAATATAAATAATGCCATTCGAGTAACACGTTCGATTAGATACTTTTCTAAATGATACTTGTATAAAATTATATACAATATACGAATATGTTATTATTTCATTTTATTATAATATTTCGTGATATTAATGGATGATGTAAAAGTAGTTCGATGAACAGTACTCAGTAGCCACGATTGACGGAAAAGTATTGATGAGCTACGTGGGTGACTATAATGTGAAAATGTATATAATATCGAGACTGGGCATTGACGACTATAACGAGTTAAAAAGTTAACTTACTTTTAACTAAGTTACCTAACGAGTTTCTTTTATTTTCCTAAGTAACTTCCAACTTAACGAGTTTGTTTTATTTTTAAGTAACTTTTGTTTCTGCATTTGAGATTTGAATGGATATTAAGATAGAGTAATAACTAATAAGAACAACAACTATCTACCTACCTATAAAACGTATGAAATGATTTACGAGTAAATAACTTGTGAATGACAAAAATTAACTAAAATAATTTGTTTGTTTTGTTGAATCTCTTGATTGATTAAATTATATAAGTACCTATACTGTAATTATTATAATTACATACATTTTTTAAATAAGTAAAACTTCCTGTATTATGACATTTAAGTAACTACTTTTTACTAAGTCAAGTTACTTTTTTTCCGAACTAACTCTTAACGTTTAACTAGCTTTATAAAAAAACAAAAGTTCCTTTTGTTTTTAATCTCAACTCAAATTTGTCGATATATTTACTTGACCAACCGAGTTAAAAAAAAAATTAGTCAACTCGCCTAGCCTAGTGCGACAATATGACGTGCACACTAGTACGCTGCTAAGTGGAGGTGCTGAGCGGGTAATACATAACACGACCATACAATATTATGTCATATTATAATTTGCGCGCCGTGCAGTATGTAATAATAACGACGGGTACGTGACGACATCACGATAAATCAAAAACCGAATCGCTGTGGTCTTAAGACTGGTGTGTGGAGGGAGGCATGTCCTGCAGTTTCGCGTTTTTGAGACGTGGTGCCCCGAGGCCCAGGACGGTCATTGATCTATAGCCTCGAGTACAATATATTATTGTCTACAATAATATCACACACGTTATTCTATTATGATATCGTACGATATAACTTATAACACCGCACACCCGCACGCACACACACACACACACACACACACACACACACACACACACACACACACACCGCACGCCCCACCAACGGCGCAATACTAATTTGGTCGTAAACAATAAGTATGCGATTCTGAGGGATTACGTACCGCTGCTGCTGTTGCTATATATAATAATATAATAGTATGCACATATACTTGCTGCATATACTCACCAAAACGAACTATATATGTTGTATACTTAATGGGGTTTTGGAGAGCCGATGCGTACTATCCTGCGGGTATACATAGCGGACGGCGGCGTATTATGTATTTTATGGTACTATGATATTATATTATTATATTATTATACCTAGTGCACACGCATGCGCGAGACGAGTCTGGCGGCGGATGCTTCCGGTGTTATTAATATAATAATCATCCGCTTCGTTTTAAGTATTGCTCGACTACCGCTCGTCATTAAAGTATCTGGTAGGTAGTGGTATAATGATATACCTAGTCGTCGTCTTGGTCGTCGACCGCGGTACCAGTCGAGATACCGAGATTCAGTTGGTGGGGACATCGCACTATAGTGGGTAACGATTGTTATGATCTGTTATCGAAATGATACAGTCGATTCCCCCGATTATAGCTTTTTTTCGGATATTTTATTATGTAAATCCCATCGATGAGACTATCTACTGGGGAGAACATAAAAATTTCACTGGTAAGTACCAACTTCTTACCTGTAAAGTTTGACCTAAAATCCACCGATTTTTATTTTTGACCACCAAAAGTATCAACCAAATCCAATTTTTCAATAAAAACTCTTTTCAAAGTTGAATACCAGAGCATTTTTACCGCCTCGAATGATGACGACAGATACAAAAATAAAAATTATAAATTAAGAATCATTGGACAACTAATAGATTAATAGTTCCAATGAGAACCTAAAGCAACTAATTTATCAAAATGATACTGAAAAAAATTGAAAAAATATATATATAATACAGTAGACGCCGCTTATAAGACTCACGGATATAAGGTTCAGTCGCTTATTAGACTCAAAATCATCTGGAACGGACGGGACGTATCAAAATACATTAAAAAAAAAATCGGGCATAAGACTCAACGCTTCGGTTATAAGACTCAAATTTCGTAAAATAAATAGTAGAAAATAAACTTTTTTGGTTATAATTTAGAAATAAATTGGTATTGAAAAATTAAATAATATTCGTGTTGATTATTCCTAGTTTCTGTTGGTACCTTATAACGTATAATAATATTTTTTATAGCAAATAAAAGTTCACATTTATCGCAACGATTATCGTTATTATAGTGAGGTATCTGATTATCTGGCGGCTGCACAGTTATCGTAATTATGGGCACATAAATACACATACGTATATACCTAACCTTTATAATTTTTTATTAATGTATAATTTTTATAATATTTTTATATGTAATATTTACATATTATAATTTTAGTTTTTTTTATCAGGATTATTAAATTTATTCAACAATAAAGTATGTAATATGTAATATGTGTTAGAGTATTAAAATCAAAGCAAAATATGTAGTAAAATAAAATTTATAAATACGTAATTAATTTTTTTTTCCACTTCGCCTATAAGATTCATTCGGTTATAAGACTCACTTTGCGCTGGTCCCAAAGTGAGTCTTATAAGCGGCGTCTACTGTATATACAACTTTTATATTCCATTCGAAATCAGTAATATGCTTAACAAATTCAATTTAACCAAAATAACAACAATATAATTATGAATAATATCTGCAGGCTTTGGTATTATATACTGTTGTCTGTTGCCTTCTAAAGACTATATAATTCAGTTAAGGGGATGGCTAATAATCTAGAAATAGCTTTGTGAGAAAAAATATTGGTCCATTTATGATATTGTTATCATTTATCAATGGATTTCCGACCATGCTTTCCGCTTGAAACGTCGGTATTCCCTTATAACTCCGAGACGGCGTCCGGCGGTCCATTAAGTCATCATACAACCCTTTAGTTCATCCTCGAACAATGAAAACAAAAACCCGTATTGTAACCGTAACAAACACAGCCTGAACAATGATGTGTTCGATGTTTATCTGGAGAAGCTTACAAAATGTTGTCCGTATACACCTCACGTTTGTTCGACGAATAATATTACCGATGATGGACAATAACTTCAAAGTGATATTATATAAATGAAATGATGATAATAATATAGTATATGCGTCGAAGAGTGAGAACGATCCCACCATTTCATTGTATAGTGTTTGACGGTTGTATACGGAATTATACGGACTTATAAAGCTGAACGATATAATGTTTAAAATTTTGCAACATTTAAAATTGTAAAACCAATTTAAGCTAACGTCCTAATGTTGTTCTGAAAAGTTCATGATCTATAATAATTAAGCAATTGAATAAAACATGATACAATTATGTAAAAAATACCTTATAACTTGTTATTATATAATGACTTTTTTACTTACTGTAAAATATTTCATAATTTTACATTGTATTACCGGATAAATAAATAATTGTATCTTCGGTCCGCGACATTAATGTACCCGAATTGCCTATCCAACGCGCCGTGTAATCTTAACATAATATTGTACTTTATTAATATTATTGTCTTATTGAAATGCGATAATGCAAACACGATGAGATGTAGCGTAAACGGCAGGACTAAATGAGATAAAAGTTATATGGAAAGCGTTCACTGAGTATAACAAAGTAGAATATCATGAAGCGTTTTATTATACAAATTAATATGATGATAATTTAAAATTTGTTTTAGTTAGTAATAGCAGATTATAGTTTATGAGCTTATAATTACTATAGTTAACAATGTTATTATTATAATTATTATAATCACGATACTATGATTATTAAAGTTTATTTTAAAGTAAATAATTGTGTATCAACAAGTTGTATAAAGTAAGTTTAACAAGATGTGTGTATTGTAAACAAAAAAAAAATAATACTTATACATGTATAACTGTTTCAAAAAGATGGAACTTTTTAAAAACACAATTTTTTATCAACATAATTTTTATTTCTTTGAATAACAAGTAAAACTGTGACAACATTATTTTTATTTCAGACTTTTCAACGAGACCACTTTGAATCTTTAAAATAAATTTCGACAACTGATTGCAGATATGTATCCCGGAAAATGCTAGTTTACTATTCTACTCATCAAAATTACTTATCAATTATTCATTTATTTGTTTTTTTTTTAACGGGCTGAAGCCCAATTACAGTGGCTTACAATAATAAAACTATAATAATTTAACAAATTTGACAGTAATAATTCAGAAAACGACGAGATAAAATATTACAATAGTGTAAGATACACAGAACACGATATATATATATATAAACGAAAAAAACACTTCAAAGAAGAGAAAGAGTCACGTGGTTAACTCCTAATATCCTTGAAAGAGAACTATTTCTTAGGTAGTCGGCTGCATAAAAAAAAAATCACGACAATTATAATATGTATTGCGAATGTCATTGCATAATGGTACGTCAAAAAAATATTTTAACCTGTAAACTAGGTGCATTTTGATTTCTTTGCATGGAAATACTCTTAAAAAATTACTGCTACGGAATATGGAATTATAAACTGATGTTTTAGTTAAAAAAATAAACTATTTAAGACTGATAACGATGAGATAATTGTAAAAAGTATAATATTGTTTTCAAAAACGTTGTTCACTTCAAATTACGTAAAATAATCTTTTCGAAAAAGTTTAAACTTTTCTAAACACAATGAGTGTATGGACTTAAATAAATTGATCATTATGTGTGCTATAAGTGTAATAATTACAAAGGAAGTCTTGGATTTGCATATTATATATGTTATATTCATTTCCTTAGTATAACCATGTCGTTCGAACCCTGATCACACAACCATATACTTACTGTTACCCTCGAACAATGTTTAATCGTCGGGATACTTCATCAAGCTTAACAAAAGGAGTTGAACCAAAATATTCTGATACCGATTCAGGATTCCTAGTTTAAATCTACTGTGCTTAATGTATTATCCTTATTATTTGGTGAACTCGTAAAACTGTCCTTCTGAATGGGAGCGACCGAAACGACATAACATCTCTTGACTGCATTGTTGGATCGCGGGAAAAACATTAAAATCATTCACGCTCAGCTAGACATTACCCCCTCCCCACTGGTACACAATATATAGTATATTATTATGGTACATCACGTCGTATAAATTATAATCACAACATAATATTATTAAATAAAATTTATAATTTCATAACGCAATGATTTCGATATTTTTCACAGGTTTTCGAGCATTTCCGATTTCGTAAACTCGTACGCTTCTAGTATACTTTTCTCGTCAGATTTGGAAATCTATTAACAGAGTATAATAGTATGATAACACCTCCGTTATTTTTTAATATTTCATAATATAATGTTAAACACAGTTTTTTTTTTACAATATAATAATACAATATGCTTATACCTCGGGCATCATATAGTGTGTTCGGATACTATCCGGTTCGTCAACATATTTGATGGTGCTTATTTTCAGCTCTCCGTCGATCCAAACGCCCTCCATCAATTGACCTTTGTCTTTGAACACGTACACACCTTCACCGTGTTTCAGACCATTTCTCCATTGTCCGTCATAAACGTTACCGTTTGCTGTAACACGAGTTTATAACGTTATAGAATTTGAAAACAAACAATTTAAATCGGTGCTGCCACATTAATAAATGATAATAATATCATGCTAAAATAGCAAGTTTATGATGTCTATTTTATAAGTAAGAAGTTAGTTTCTAAACGATATTTTAATACAACATAAATATATTTTAGTTGTATTTCATAATATGATACAATCAAAATAATTGGAAAACCTTTATATGTTGGTAAGTCGCTCCATTTAATCACACGTTGATGGTAGGTTATTACTCAAACGTCTGAGGAGATGATAATAATTTAATTTGGTAATAAGTGTTGTGGTTTGACTATACGGCTTGGATATAAGAATTTGTGATAAAGCTAAGTGCTTTAGCTTTCTCATTTCTATTGCAGAAATATTTAAAAGCCCAAATTGAGTGCCTAGAAATATCATAATATGACTAGTGAAAATTGTTAATTTTTCCTCCCTTCCCCCTGGTTTCCAAGTTGCTGTTTTGTGTGTAAAAGGTGTTAAGTCGAAAACTGTTTTTGAGTATCTAGAAAGTGATTTGCGCACTCGCTGAGACGGAATGGTCGATGTATAGTTGTCGGTCAGTTTACCAAACTGCAGTCTGAAATTTCATGTAGCTGTCCATGCGTGATGTGCAGGGGATCTCAGTGAATGTCACATACAACACCAACTTACTGGTCTCGATTGCTAAGCGAAAATATTCGTACCTACTGTGTCATTTTTCCGATAAGTAGACAGATTTTGCTACGTCACAATTTTTGTCGAAGGCGACCAGCATCACGCTATCGTACACAATTTGGTGTTCGTAGTTTTTGTCATTCTGTTTCGATTCCAGTAGACGGACGTCTGGGAGAAACAAACCTTCAGCGACATTCCATTGGCATGCAGTAGATATCTGATGCTGTTCAACTACGAGATTCTCGCGTGGTAGACACTGATATTGTAGTCCTCCGTCAGGTTTACTTTTTCCGTCTTGCACATTTCCAACGGGTTTGAGAGCTCGCAGAACACTTGAAGTATCATGACGAAGAGAGAGATATCGTAATTGCCTTGGTTACCTGGTCTGGTTTGACGTCACTAATATTATCACAAACAAACTTTAACTTCACTCGCGTTTTTCTCATCGGCGGTTACATAATTACATTACATTTGTAGTCTTTACTGCTTTTTTTTACACAAACGGTGAAAACGACAGAGATTTTAACGCGGTAGTGGAAGATGTGACAACTGAATTTGAGACAATCACATTATTGCTGGAGTATGATGTACCGGAAACGGTGGTTCTCAGGAACGTGGAAAACAACCCACCGATCAAAATGAAATCGGCACTGTCAACCCCGAGGCTGGCTCATATTGTGGTTCCAGTTTCTTGTTTTATACGTTTATTTGAACCACTGATTCTGGTACATCGAACTCCTGCAATAATGATATCGTCGCAAATTCAGTTGTTAAATCTTCCATTACCACCTTAACAGATGTGCATATCGAGGAATATGAGATCAATTCCCTGTGTTGGTGGCCAGTACCAGTTGCGGTGGACAAAAGACGGTCAGTGGTGGACGCAAGCTGAGGAAGGTGGCACTCGTCCGTCGCTGTCTTATAAAGGCCACCTGCGGCTGTCGCTTCAGTGACAAGGTAACCCGTAGCTCGAAGTCAGTCACAAGTCATAGAGGCCTGAAGTCCGCTAAAAGTGGGCCAGTGTGAATGTTATGCAGTGACCGCTTCCGTTCCAAAATTACTAACAGGAGACCGAAGGCAAAGTAAAATGCGCCAAGTAAAAGATGCGTTTGACATAATATTATGTTACGTACATTATAATATAATAAACTACACATAAATATATTCGTAGACTTATATACAAAATAAAAACTTAGGTTGAAAAATAGTGTTCCCATAATATTTCTCCCTGGATATGATGTTCAGTACGAGCAATATTACATAAGTGAGTAAGTATAAATTAGTATGCAGTGATGGTCCCTGATTTTATAAGTCGAATCGAAAAACTCTGTAGTAGTTGAAGACTCAAAGATGGACGACAGAAAATTAATATAGTATTTTGGAAAAAAAAACCATTGAAGGACATTATGAATGATACTACCCTGCGTTGTTACTCGCTTACTCGCTCATTTACGGTCCAGCTTGTGTGCTTTTACGAATGTCAATCAAAAAACGAAGCACTGTCATACCACCGTCCACGAGAGACATGGTGATTCCGGTGAATGCCACGAATAACACAGACCAGCCTCAGTTATGAAGTGACCCTACTGTTAAGAATCCTCACAGCGTCGTTTTTCCGGTACCTTCGGGTCCTTGTAAATAGAATACTTTTGATATATCTGGATTGTTTTCGACGGCCACTATAACGCGGTCGTACACCGTTCGTCAATCCCCGATGTAGTTCAGCCATTTGGCAGTCGTTGACGTCTTGGAGACGCTGGTTGGAGTAATTTGGTGTTAATTACTTAGGATTGTGGTTTTTTGATACAGATTTTTTATAAAGATTCATGATAAGCCTTATAGCTCTTTGATGGTCTTGTTTCGACGACGGAAATTTTTTGATAATTTATTAACTATTTTGATAATGTATTCCCTTTAATTCAAAAATGTATATAAAAGTACATAATTATATAGTAGATAGTAGTCTAACAATTAATGGGTAATTAAATTTATATTATCTATTGTTAACAATAGACAATAGTTGTTGTTTTGTTTGTGCATAATTAACTCATACAAGATGATTGTATCATTTATGCCAAGTCACTGCTAATTGATTAAATCTTACAAAAACATTGAAAGCAATGATGTGTATAGAACTCAGCAGAAGAAAGGTTTAAGGTTAATTTTATAATGAATAAATTTGCAGTTCAACATCCACATGAATTTTTATCTACTCTGCGGAATCATTTATCAAAATTACAACCAAGTTTTTTTCCATTATTGCACTTAATTTTCTCCAAGTCATATCGGTAAATGTCTGTAACCGTAATTTATAGGTAAAGTGGATCCGCCTGGTTTGTTTTGATTGATACAAGTATTTTTTTTTTTCAGAAAACTAAAGATTTTATGAATACTTTTAAACGAATATGAATGGCTATTAATGTGATTGCGTCATGTACAAGTGATTAAAAACGATATTATATTATACTTGTTAAAAACTCGATGAGTATATGATTCACTTATATACACAACGATGTCTAAAAGTTCTTCCGGTCGACAATGATAAACTTTCAAATTCATTTCATGTAGAAACCCACATTTATATATGCAATATGACGTTTACGCCAGAAACCAATGAAATATGCATTTACTTTAGAAAAAGGCTATAATATGCATTTGCATAACTGCATATGAAATGCATATAATTCGAGTTCTAGCTGCAGTGACATTTACATTTTAGACGAGTGGAGATGAGTGCCACAGAACTACAGAAGTACGTCTTGTGCTCGTCAAAGCAAAAAGCTTTAAATACTCGTATAGCTAATTAACTTTGTTAGATCGAAATATTTAAAGCGAAAATATTTTCCTTCACAATTTATTGACGTTGAAAAAAAAACGACAGGTAACAATAAAAAAATTAATATACATAGGAAAAAATATGATTTTTCAAAAATCGTTTTTGAAAACACTTTAAAGTTGAACTGTTAGGTGATAAATTGAACATCTCGTATAGATGCAATATCATGTGCAATCTAATAAAAAATAATATAGTTGAATGCAGTTTTTACCTTCTACATGTTTCCCCCGGCCGTTGTACTCGTTGTTACGCCATTGACCTCGGTATACGGCTCCATCGTTCCACCGCATGGTCCCGTAACCGCATTTTATTCTGCTACCGGTCGTCGAAAAGCTACCATCGTAAATGCCTCCATCTTCGTACCATTTGCCTTTAGCCTTTATATAAAGACGACGATAAACACCGTACATTATGGCATTATAAAAGTCCACTGCTCGCATAAAACCAGCGATCGCTACTTTTTGAGCGCTAACACCGAAACTCCTCGTTTGCCGATTAAATACAGTGAATACTATCGTCGTCGTGTTTATTGCGTATTATACGTAAATTAAATTTCAGCTATAAATAATTTGCTACCTACGCACTCGAAATCGTGCTGTGCAATGATAACATCGGAGGGTTCACAACGTCTCGATATTATATTTGTCATAAAACCCACTCCCCTCGAAAAACATGTACAACGTAAATATAGACAGAGCGATATAACCATTTCGTTATAATATGACAAGTAATCAAGTATTCATTTGATCATTTGATTTTAATTTTTTTGATAAAATCTTTTATCATTTTAACAAACATTTAGATTCTGTATGTCATTTGAGGAGATAAAAATATGTTGAGACAATAATGTCATATTTTCGAACGATAACCACCTATAGATTTACTTAACACTATTAAGCAGACTATTTTGAAAATTCTGATGCATTGAAAATATTTAAATTTTTAAACATTACAAAAATAAGAACTTTTATAATTGTAGGTATACAATGAGGATAAAAAAGACAAAATGACCCACTGAACGAGTATTGGCTGCATATTATTAATAGCGATACCACAGTTAACTCAAGAAAAAATGTGTATCCTTAGAGATAGGTTTTTACATATTCCTGAATATCACTTGCAAAAATATGGTCGTTTCAGTGCCTTAACTAATGAGGAAACTGCTGTATTCACTGTTCAGCAGTGGGTATTGTCTTCGGGTCATTTATGTATATATATACATGTATATGTACTGGTATCAATATATATGTCGTAGGCATATAGTCAAATCAGGCATTTTATCAAATGCCTAGGCATATAGTCAAAAAATTTAATGTTTATGCAATTTCACTATCCGCCTAGACATTTAGTTAAATGCCTAGTCATTTAATTAAATGACTAGGCATTTGACTAAATGCCTATTTCATGCCAGGCAAATAATAAAAAAACATTAGCTGTGTATTATTTATTAATATGAAAAACACGTAGATACTCGTATATGAAATAATATGTTTAATTTTGTGTTAATTATTATTTAGTATTGTTTTAAAAATGAAATCATAAATATATTCAGGTAATAACTAATTAGATGTGATAGACATAAATGATAGTACGAGTATTTTGTATAGCATATATAGTCAATATAGTCTATAGTACGAGTAGTGAGTACTATATATTCTTATTAAATAAAAATAAAAGTTCCATTGGTTTTTACCTTGGAAAATTAACGTGGGTACTAGGTTGTATGAGAACCTTATCTATATTGAGTACCGTGGGACAAATTATAATCTTATCGATTATAACGACAAAAATATGACGTTACCAAAAAAGATACAGAACATGCGATTGAATTGTACAATAATTTAGTTTAGTACGTCTATTACGTTTACGTAAATCGTATGTAGTGTGATCGTGATTGCATGTAATATTGTAACATAGGTATACCAATTGACATTTTTTGTATATTTAAAATTTTGATTGTTTTTATTTGTATTTTAAAATATAATATGTCACACAGTGTATTGTTTTATGAAAAATTAAAATCAATTTACGACAACCAAGATAAAAAAAAGCCATGGAGTCAGGAAGACTACGACAAAGCTCTAAACGAAATCAATGATGCGAAATTGAATCCAGGTAAAACTAAAACTCAAAACCAATATTATTTATGTCGTAAATATGATCTGATTGAAGTAGGAAATGTTAAACATATTATTTTAAAACCAAAAACTAAAACCGAAAATATTATTTATGTTGTACCATATGAAAACTATTTTGAAAAAATCGAAGAAAGCCATAAAGCGACTGGTCATGGTGGAAGGGATAAAGTTGAGCAGAATTTAAAAAATAAATACAACATTCCTCGAATAGCAATCCAAATATTTATTAATTTGTGTACAACTTGTAACAAAAAAAAATCAAAACCTTGTAAAGGCGTCGTTATAAAACCAATATTATCGGCAGATTTTAATTCAAGAGGGCAAATTGACCTTATTGATTTCCAATCAACACCCGATGGAAATTTTAAATGGGTCATGAACTATCAGGATCACGCAACCAAATATTTATATCTTCGACCACTTACTTCAAAACGAGCCACCGAAGTTGCACACGAACTTTTAAAAATTTTTTTGGAACAAGGAGCACCTCAAATACTTCAGTCTGATAATGGGCGAGAATTTACAGCGAAAATAATTGAAGAATTGGCAGAATTGTGGCCTGAATGTAAAATAGTACATGGGCGGCCACGGCACCCTCAGAGTCAGGGATCTGTAGAAAGATCAAATCAAGATGTTGAAAACATGTTACGAGCTTGGGTCGTAGACAATAAAAGTACCAAGTGGTCAATCGGAGTTTATTTTGTACAATGGCAAAAAAACATTTCACATCATCGAATTTTAGGTCGTTCGCCATATCGAGCCTTGTTTGGCACTGAACCGAAGGTAGGTCTTAGTTCTACAAACTTACCTGCCAAAATTATTCAAAAATTATCAAGTGAAGAAGATTTTGAAAATATTTTACAAGACAATTCAGAACATAATTTTGACAATATACCTTCAAAGAAAAAAATATATAGTGACATAAATAATATCTGCAGTGTTTGTGAAAAATCAGGTAGTGAACTAAAATGTACTATATGTAAAAGAAATATTCATTCTGATAATTGCAGCTATTCTATAAATAATAGTAACGATATTGAAAATATTTGTCTGCTATGTAATAATGAAAAACAGATAAAAGTTAACCGCATTGAATCTTACAAACGGCAAACAATAGCAGCTAAAAAAATGACAGAAAATAGTGAAAAACTATTTAAAGAACTAAAGGTTGGTGATCAAATAGTAATTAGTGTTCCAAAAGTAGACCGAGGACCTCTCGATAGTCAAAATATAAATGGGTTAGTGATAGACATTCGGAACGGCGTTTACCAAATTGGTACAGAAGTTGGTATAATAAAAAATTGGTGTTCAAGAGAAGAACTTCAACTAGTGTCGAATAATGGTTTAGAAGATAGCAAAATACAAAAAGACAAATTCGTGTCCATACGTGAAGCAGTAGCAAACTTATCAATTTTCAACGGTCAAGGTTTTGTTAAATGTCAATGTCAAGCAGGAAAGCGGCAATGTCAAACCAATAGGTGCTTATGTTTTAAGAAAAATCTTAAATGTTCCAGCAAATGCCACCAAATAACAACATGTGACAACAAGCAATAGGTAACAAAAACTTGTAATTATAATATACCTTTTTTATTTATTTTTTATTATTTCATTTTTAAAACAATACTAAATAATAATTAACACAAAATTAAACCTATTATTTCATATACGAGTATCTATGTGTTTTTCATATTAATAATTAATACACAGCTTTTTTATACATAAAATAGCAATAAATAACTGATAGAAAATATATTGAAATTTTTAAAATAATACAAAATGTTTTTTTATTATTTGCCTGGCATGAAATAGGCATTTAGTCAAATGCCTAGTCATTTAATTAAATGACTAGGCATTTAACTAAATGTCTAGGCGGATAGTGAAATTGCATAAACATTAAATTTTTTGACTATATGCCTAGGCATTTGATAAAATGCCTGATTTGACTATATGCCTACGACATATACATACATATACATTTAATACTACTACTTACGAATCGGTTATTGATCCATTGTCCTTCGTAAATGTATACAAAATGGTCATCGACTTTCTTCATCAGCACGCCAAAACCATGTCTTTTGTTCGCGACCCAATCTCCCTCGTACACTGTTTTGTTCTTGTAAGACTTTTTTCCTTTTCCTGAGTATTAAAAAACACACCGTACAGATTTTAGACAGTCGAACGACGGCGCGGGGAAATATTAAAACAGCTCAAGTGGATAATTTTATGTATATTTCCAGCAATATTACAATCGGTTTTTTAACAATGAATTATTACGCACACGGCGTATGTAAGTCCCAGCATATTTCGTTGTTGTGAAATATATCATTCGAACACTATCTTAAGAACACATTTTTTTTGTGTATTTCATCGCATGATCAATTAATAAAGAAAACCGGCGTTTCGCATATTATTCTAGTATATTAATAGTATTTATGCATTCCGTCTCTATGATAGGAGTATAAAGATAAAAAACAGCAGCTTAGCATACTATTCTAGTATATTTGTAGCATAACCAAGGTCGCGAATGACAATAATATCCCACGTATTATTACCGATCCCTATCTGGCGTCACCACAGCACGGGACATCGAACGTGTACCCAAGTCTTGGTTATAGCAACAGGTTTGTCGTGTCATCCGTTCGTACTTCGTATATTATAACATATGAGGTCCAGCTGACGGTTATTGTCGTCCACCAGGCGAGTAATGTTTTCATCGGACGAATACCATCAATGATTTTAAAGTACAGTCGTCCCAGTTAACTATACCACTGGCACCGACCATTACAGAGATTACTCGTAAATAATGTGATATAGACGGACGGGAAATAAAACATAGCACTAGGCACTAGTTTCGCGTCAACTCGACGTCTATTTTCACGTCCGTCGATATTATTTTTCAAATATCATCGTGCTACAAATAAAAATACGATACATCAGACGTATACTCGTCGAATAATAATTGCGTAGGGTAGTCGTACTTCGAATCATCGGCGCACTATATTAATGTAATAATAACGTGTTATACGTGTGCGTGTTGTACATGTCGACACTAAGCGTTGGACGTTTGCACACGTTTGCACATTTTTATCGTATTTGTTCTAAATATCGTGTGCAGACAACTGCGTGCAACAGCAACTGCCATACATTATTCTACGAATAATACCCAAATGGTCCACATCAGTCACTACTTTTGTCTCCGTGGTTACCCCAGCATCACTGTTGATTTTATATATAATAAAAAAAATCATAACATGACTATAATGGCGATACTTTATTGATTATTGACTTATATGCGTTGTTCAATGATATTGCTTAGGTACGTTTCATTTTTTCTTTTTTTGATATTATTTCATTGACGTTAAAATGCTTCAGTCTTAAAATTGTGAATATTTTAATTGGGATTACTATCTCATATAGATAGATATATAGATATATCTCATAGATCACTATTAAATCATCATTTTCATTCGCACAACAGCAGGCAGGTGGTGTCATGCGTATTAGTTGTTGTTCAACATCGATAATCGAGTATTTGTAATCATTATTGTTGTAGTGCATTGAATTTGAACTTAAATCGAAATCAGGAATAAAAAATTGATTATTACATTTTAAGTTATATCACAACGTGTTGTGCATTTAAATCTAGAAAACTTAGCGTGCTCGTTCAAAGTGTTTTATTAATGTTGCATTTATAAAAGTTGATGCATTAAAAAAAAAACTAATTAAATAAAAGTTCAAATTAAAAAAAAAATTACCCTACTTCTAAAGTTTAACAATATTACTTATTTAATTACTTCGGATCATCCCGTTATCGTTTATATAGGTACACTATGCATGTATAAAACAATACAATTATTCATTTTTTATATACTTTGATTTTAAACTCCAGTTTGTTTGGACTTAGTCATTTTTTATGGTAATAAAAGAAAATTAAAAAAAACCTTTTTCCATTATAATAAGCATGTATTTTGACTTGTGTTTTTAGTCGATGACACGTAATATTACAATATAAAAAATGTCATTTTAACTTGACTTTTAAAACTATTTCTTTTTCTTAAAAAATAAAAATAAACTGAGTATCGATTTATTTTTGTTATAATAAAGGGTCTATATTGCAGTTGCGTAACCTTATCTCCAATTTTCTTTTTTCTAATTTATTATACTAAGGTCAATATTATCATTAATATAAAAACCAATACCCATGGCTATACTAAAAATATAAAACTAAAGTTGCCACACGCAGTAGTAGCTGCACGGGAATATACAAAAGTCAAAATACAGAATATTAAAATTAGTAAACCAATATCGAATATATCATATGATTTTAAAGCATTATTTAGATTTTAGAAAAATATCTTTTAAATAATGTGTGACTAATCATACAAACAATTTTTGAAAATTGATTTTTTAGAATGCAGGTTAATATGAAATATTATAATATAATATAGTAAAGTTTTAGTAGACATAAGTTTTAGATCATATATTTTTATAGCACTTGGTTATAGTTAACATATTGTTAGGTTACAGTATATTGTTAACTATATTATTGAATAGTTGTAAAATCTTAATATTATGATATACGTTTTATATTAGTTAATGAGAGCTCATATTAATATAATAATTAACATAATGCTTAACAATGTTAATTTGTATTGTTAAAATAGTTTTAACGTTTGGTTACCAAGGCACTTCGAACAGAAAGCCAAAATAATTTGAGGTGCCTGGTGCCTCGGAAACACACCTCAATCATAGCAATCTTAAATGTAATTAAAATACTTGAAAATAAACTTTATTATTTGAGTTATTAATCACGTTTTATAAATTATTAGTTATTATACATCAGGTTTCTAATTCAGTGTAATACAAAATAGTTGAAGACTTATGAGTTTAAATCAAATTTGAGAGTTTTGTATCAATTTTTGTCGATAATAATTTAGATTTATTTATAAACGAATTTGGTATCGTATAATATTTAGTTTATTTTCGTTTATAGTTTTAAACATTTTTTTTTTGAACCATGATTTATTTATTTAGATTAAGTCGTATAGATGTCATTTTGTGTTTTAAATTTTAAAAAAATACCGAGTAAGACGATCAATAATAATTTATCATTCTGATACGTGGTTTTCGAAGATTTAATTACTTTAAAGCATGATTTTTTTAAATCACGCCCAACGCCATTTTGTATTGGGAGAGCATCACGGAGACCAGTAGTGACGTTTAATGGAGGACATATTTTAATGTACACAATAATTGTCGAATTTCCTCGATACACCCCGTACATTATCGTATAATCTTTATTTACTTATTTGATGGAAACTTAACGGTCATAACGCCCTCTCTTACAGAATACTTCATAACGGTACAGTTGTACATGGCCATAGGGTACGTTAAACACTGAATAATAATTATAGTGTTGCACAATGACACGGACGGAACTAAAAAGCAAAGTAATTTGTATATAAAAGTGAAATTTGACAATGATTTGGATAGATGTATGCCAACATAGTGCCTATTGTAAAGCTCTGTAGTCGTGTCGTTGAAATAAACTATATACTAACACAATCACAGTATCCGAATTATGTACGCTCATATTGTAATATTATTATACATAGGCACCTAATTCGAAACAATCGGACAACTCGGCAGCAATTAAAACCGACCTTTAATCGGTTGACCTACCTCTGCGATGGCTATACAAAGTCGTGAACTCACCTTGTTTCGTGTCGTGTTCCCAGTTGCCCATGTACAGCCCGTACTTTTCGTACACACCCGGCTTGAATCCGTTTTTCATGGAGATCTGCTCCAACCACTGCACCTTGGACGGCACGCACCTCCGGTGGATCGAAGGCATTCCGAGGCGTTTTCGGTCCGGACGAATTTCCGTATACGGCGGCGACGAGGGCGGAACAGCGCAAAATATTTTATTCTCAATTAGATCCAAAGTGTCGGCGAACTAATACCTCGCCGCCGCCGCCGCCGTTACCACACGCACTGTTTCTTAGCAACGGCCGTTCGTTCGTCGTTGTTACTAGGTCAAGTCCGCCAAAGTGTCGATTACACGGACCTACGTGTATATAATAATAGCTATATCGCGAGATATCAGTGCGAGCACAACACATTTTTTTCTCTCTTCTCGTGCTGGAAACTTTGCGAATAAAAACGATTTTCCCTGCACACGGGCCGAATCGATCGGCGTCGATAGTCTTGATGACGATGGCGGCGGCGGCGGTCGGGCGGCGGCTCGGGTTATAACAATATGAGTAATTTCTTCGGGCATATAATATTATATAATATAGTGTAATACATGGATATAACACGGTAATATTGTAATATGATAGAAATTACAGATCATGTCCTCCAATGCGAAAAGAAATTTAACTGACTGAGCGAATAATTAATATTATCGTCGAGATTACTGTGTATCAATACACGTCACAGTTGTTGATTGTGTGGGCTTTTATATTATCATACTGATATAAAAATATAATATGCGCTTTGAAATACTAGAGATTATCAGCAGAGAATAAAAATCGTAATCGATACGATTTCAAAACCCCGAGAACCAATTACGGCCAAACCCATTTTTTTCCGTTGTGCTCAGGAAACATTTTATTTTTTTAATTCCCAAAAATCGACTTGTATTTAAAATCCCTTTAAAATTCCTGAAATACCGAAATATATTATAACACGGCCGTGTGAACTCATCGGGTTTAAACGAAATCGTTACCAATACGACATACTTGTATACAGTTTTATAATTATTATACTCTAATATTATCGAGCCGGTGTGCGCACGCACCGGTTTCGCCGAGTTCAACAAGTCAAGTTCCACACACGACCGTATAATATTATTATTACTGTGTCGAAGACAATTATTATTGTGCGTATACATTCTGAGTCATCTGACATATATATATAAATATATCATATGATATATATTATGGCGGTGAAACACTTAAAAACTTTAACGAAACTTTCCGATGGCGCTCGTTCGGGAGGCTTCGGGGACGCATGTCGTGTAAATCCGGTTGAAATTTTTATCGAATCTTCGCCTAACGGCTATATAATATTACGCGGCTATACTGTCTCTGCCGCCGCTGGGGATTATATAAAGCTGATATTCCTGTAAAATTCGATATCAATAATAATAATATGAATGTTCGTCGAATAGACGACGGAAAAAAACGCGTAGACGAAAAAAAAGAAAATATAATAAAAACCGCTTTATTCATTTCGGTTGTGTACAACGATATTATGCGAAATCGTATTATACGATAGCATTATTGTATTATATTATTATTATTGTTATTATTATTATTATTATTATTGTTATTATTGTTATTATATTTTGGCGGATGCCGTCTGTTCGCTCTCGTTATAATATTATATAGTTTCGATGTGACAGTGTCCGTGTTTGTTCTGCAACGGAATAAATAAATACGCGCATTGTACTTTGGTGTATAGTGGAATATAATTTATTGTGTACATTGTTTACGTAAAATGGCTTATAGGAACCATTCGACAATTTTAATCCCTATATTATTATTATTATTATTATTATTATTATTATAAAACGGAATACACGATGGTGCTAAAAACAATATTTGATTATTAAATATTATTATCGTGATGATGATGCCGATTATACGCATATTTTTACAGCGATAGCAAACGTTTGCGGTTTTTTATTATTATTATTATTATTCCGGTCGCGAAATTCTATAGCGATTTTATCGTGGCCTGAACCCGAGCTTAAACTGCGGGCTTAGATTTTTTTTTCTTTCGACTAGTTATCATAGTTTCAAGCGTTTTATTCTGACACCCACGTCTGCTAGGTCGCCTTTTTTGTTTTAAACTCCCACGTCGTCCACGAACCCGAGATCTTCGAGTAAGTTTTTAATACGCGTTTCCATAATTATTCGGTCGACTGACGACAAAATCATCTTATAAAAATTATCAACTTTCGTCTGGGTTTTAAAAAGTGTGCAATCTATAATCATAAATGATTTTAATTTTCGTGTTAATATTATATACTCTGTCGTAACACGTACACTACTGTTTTGAAGTATTTGTTTGATTAAGTGCACATACATATGCATAATATATAATACATAAGACAAAATATTTAAATGCTAAAATACATTTTATTATTATTGAATCGTTTTAAAATATGTGTGTAGTTTTAAGATAAATAAATTATTAAACAATGCACTTAAAAACTAATCGTCTGAAAAACATAATACAACGGTTAAAATGATTTTTGAATGATGAACATTTTAATGGATCAAATATTATAGTAATTTGTATAAATCATTATTAAGTGCTTTCTCCAGACAAAGAAATTATGACAGGCAATTATCGTATATCTTCTTATTCCTTGTAATAAAATTCGATTTCATTCCACACCAAAAAATCTATTTTTCTGACTCGACTTTAATGATGATTTTATTTATTGTAAGACGAAAAATACATACAATTTTTTCTAAATGTTCGATGAAATATTCGTTTGTTTAGATTTAAGTTTAATATAAAAACAAATGACTCATTATAGTTATAATAAAATACCTAAATTTCTTAATATCAAAAAAAAAATATATTGTAAAAGAAAAGTTGATGAATAAAATATTATTGTACCTTTTTTTATTTTTACCAAAACTATAGGCCTATAGAATTTACTTAATATTTATATTTTATTTATTCGTCAATGGGATAATGGAAGTAAAATAATGTTCACAATTGTCAACAAATAAATAAAAATATTTGGTGGGTATGTCGTGTTCGCACTTTTCAGAGGTATACTTCGGTACACTTGAAAATCTAAAAAAAAACATAAACCAACCCACCTAACCTAGGTTCAAGCATATAATATTATTACGCTATTCCCTCCAATCCTCAACACGACCAACAGTTAATCGTTTTCAGATCGGATTCCGACAAATAGCAAGGAATATTAACTTTTTCTAATCAAACTGTAAACTATAACTTGTACACCTTTTGGTACACGGTAACCTTTTATAGAAATATATTAAACACAATATTAAAATACATCATTTGTCAGTGTACCAGTCGTTGTCTAACCACGTACGACCGTCACACACGGATCTACCGGTTACCGAAACTCCGGTATAAGGGACTTCTTCATGCTTGCCGTGACGTTGACGTTTTATTGCAATCGTCACAAATTGTGTGGTTCCAGCTCGTTTACTTCATTGGCTTGGTCTACCTCAATAACTGTTATCAGTTAATTTGCCAAAGCTTTAATACTTACTTAACCTACATCCATCTATGTCTCATACAATGTTCGTAAATTCCTGTAACTATTAAATTTGTAAAATTTGACAGTATGCATAGGCGATGGTCCATGGTAGCAGCGTAGGGGATGCTTGGACTTCCCTTTTTATTGTTGAAATGCACCGGTCAACCGAGTCTTAAGTCAGATGGGTTAAACATTTTACTTCGGGAAAAAAATGTCTCTTATGGATTGTTGTAATAACTATTTACTTGTAAAGATGTGTGCGACAAAATTATGTAGGAAGTATCTTCATTTTGTCAATAACATGGCGAATTGATTTCTCGACTTCAGAAAAACCTACAAAGACTTGCGATAGACGACGGTTTGCATCTATGTTTTGAGATATTATTTCTGTATTATGTTTTTGAATTGTAGCTAGGTGATGTATTCCGGGGGAGTTGACGATATAATATTTCTGCAGTAAAATTTAAACTTCAAAGGTAGTAAGAAATTGTAAATTATTAATCGTAAACTCATTACACAGTCTTTATTTTTAAATTACATAAATATTTCATTGTGATGGGGCGGCTTAAAAAAAAATCCAAGGCCGTATAGGTCTTTTTTCGGTTTGTTAAGATAGACGCAATCATTAGCTGGACTGCTGCTGAGGATGAAATCTAGTCGTCTAGCCTTTGACAGTATGGATTATACAAAAATTGAAAAGCTATATTTTGAAGTACAATCGACATTTTTTTTTTTTACATTCTTTAGATTCCATTACGCAATATTTATCTTAAATACCTTATATAAATATCTACATATTTTTGTTTTACATATCGTTCAAATATACTGTATGCAGTGTTAAACTAAAAAGACTTAAGTTATTAATACGGCAATAGCATATATTATTACTATCACAAGCCACAGCATATATGTATCTTTATTATACATGCACGAATTACTGTTTGTGAGTTACTCAGAAACTATTATATACTTTATATTTATAGTGGTTTCATCAACAGTTTTAATAACCCTTGCAATATAATACTATTTATTATTCCTGTATGCGAATATTGTAAACTTACGTTATACTACAGTAATTTCAAATTGTACGTAGGTACTCCCAGTAGAAACAGAATATCAACTCCGTGAAAGGCAGTAGGTACTGTGTTTTTTGATGTGCCAGACTTTTTAATTCGATTCCAACCCAACTTTAAACTTTGATAAGATGTAATTAAATAATTTTAAAAAAAATGTATACTCTGATAAAAAAAAAAAAAACAAACAAACAAACTCGTGATATTAATTTAACTATGAAAATAGTTTTGCACACTTCACCATTTTATGAGTTGTATGCATTTTAATATATTTATACTACTTCCATAGGGTTCATAACCAATTAAAAATATACTTTATTTATATAGGTCGTACTTCAATTCTATGAAAAAAAATAATCATTTATCAAAAAAACCAAAAATTGTAGTCACAATAAATCATTGCTAAGCACTAACAAATAGGCTGTAGTTTCTAAACACATTATTGCTATAGTAAAATAATAAATGATTATTATTATTTTTTTAAAGATGACTTATATATAATTTGATAATCATTCGAACACTCCGTTATTATGGACGAATAATATTATTTAAATGTTATCAGCCAATAACTTTTAAGCAGTTTTAAACGACGCATCCCAATATATTTCTATGCATAAATCTGTTAATAATATGTGCCACTCTATTTGTACTACTTACTACTTTTTTTTTTTTTAATTTCCAACGTTACAGCATAACTTTTGGGTCCTACAATGTTTTCAGTTTTTCTTTAAAAAAAAAAAGTGAGCAATCTTTTAAATACTTGGATCGTTATTTAGGGAGATATAAAGTAGGAACTGACGTTTTAGGTTTTTAAAAATATATACTTTGAAACGCTAAAAACTAAGTTTATTTCCTCTTATAACATAAATTCTACAGTAAAACTACGTGAAGTTTCGATTTTATAAGACCATTGGACTGAATCAAACCGATTAGTTCGACTTTCTGCAGTGATATCATAATATTACTGAGTAACATTAATGTATATGTGTATATTAATACAAACTATTGATCATTCCGAACCGGATTTATTAGTTATCGGAACTTTTCGATATGATATAATCGCGTCCTAGTATGAATAGTATTCATTGAATACTCTTTTGTAATTTCGTATACACAATAAAATAAAACTGAACGTTTTATCGCGTATTTTTTTAAACAGTTTAAAAATCAAAAGGATTAATAATAATTCTACGTTGAGTATATTATTGTATAACTATATGCAGCTATTGCATCATATAAGTAATGGGATAACCGAATAAGTCGCATAAGTACGAATTATGTGCACTGTACGTCACATCATTTT